GGGGGGGGAAGTGGGATTGGGGGGGGTGGGAGTCAAGGGGACAGCTGAGGCTGGGAGTAGGGTGGCCAGGAGTCCAGTTTTGAACCGGACAGTCCGGTATTTGAGCTTTCTGTCTGGGAAACAAATTGAGAAAATACCAGAGATGTAAATGTCCGGTATTTTCTAATTAAGTTATCAGGAGTATCAGTACGTAGTTACGTACTGCCTGGCTGGTAGACGCGCTCACACTGCGTGAGTCACACTGCGTGAGCATGGCTGCCAGCCGGGCAATATGCAACACAGGAGGGAGTGGGCCTGGGGCCGGACTTGCCCATGCGCCCCGCTGGGACCGTGCGCGAGATGGGCAGCACCCCGGGATCTGCGTGCGCCTGGGTCAGTCCCACTTCCCACCGGCTGACTCTCTCCCCCTGCTCTCCCCGACCACTCCCGCTTCCCACCAGCAGTTCCCACTCCCCAGTGTGTGTGTTTTTTAACCATCTGGTAACCCTAGCTGGGAGGAAGGGGATTTGTCTCTAAGCAGTAGTCTGATTAACAGATATTTGCCACAGAGCATGAAGGCTGTTCTGCATATTAGGTTCTGCTCTTTCAGATCATACGACAAGTAGAAATGAAGATGCTGCCTAGCTCTCCAATAGAAATTGCCATTCCTATTTTCAGTGTGTGTGTTTTTTAACCATCTGGTAACCCTAGCTGGGAGGAAGGGGATTTGTCTCTAAGCAGTAGTCTGATTAACAGATATTTGCCACAGAGCATGAAGGCTGTTCTGCATATTAGGTTCTGCTCTTTCAGATCATACGACAAGTAGAAATGAAGATGCTGCCTAGCTCTCCAATAGAAATTGCCATTCCTATTTTACAGATGGGAAACTGAGGCATTGAGTAGTGACATAACTTTTCCAATGGCACCTACTGGCCAATGGCAGAGCTAGAAATGGACTCTAGATTTTCTGACTCTACCCCTTGGCCACACTCTCTCTCCGATTACAACCTGTCTTATATTTGTCCATCCAGAGAGATTCATTACAGAGAAACTCGACTCTTTATAAACGCTGCCCTGACATATTGTTTGCCTTCAGAATCATGGAGCTCACACAGACGTGTCTTAAAATTGGAGACAGGACTAGAAGGGGCTTCTTGTTAACAAGTCCAGTCGCCTGCTGTCTTGTCATTTAATCCCATTCATCAGATTAGTTTAGTACAAATGTTCCTTGAATCTTGGCAGTAGAATGCATTGGTCAGGTCTTGTAACTCCAAGGTCTTAAAACAGAAGAGCTTGTTTGGAGAGTATAGAAAACTGCAAGTTTGATGTACATGGATTTTTTCCTCTCTTTCTACAGTGGAGTCCTGGTCCCAGGTGGGTTTGGCATTCGAGGAACAGAAGGGAAAATTCAAGCTATTTCCTGGGCAAGAAAACAGAAAAAGCCCTTGTTAGGTGAGAAATGGATGGTAACTAATAGCATGAGGAACTGGGGGCAATGGGAGGCGGGAAATGAGGAGCCAACAGGTGCACATTCAGTGTCTGACTCCAGAGACATCTCTGTTGTGGACCAATCAAGCTCTTGCTTTAGACTGTTTTGGGCTAATGCTTTCTTAACCCGGAGAGTTCTCTTGATGCAGCTCTCTGGTATCTTCGACTATAGCTAATTACTAACCCTTATAATTGCGAGCCGCACGGCTGTGTTTAAATGGTTTATAATATTCCCAAGGAAATACGATTTTTGTTCTGGAGGTGGTTGATTGTATCAGTTGCCCATGATTGAGTTCTAGGAATACAGGCATGTAATGAGAGAAGATGAGCAATATGAATAGGAGAGACGAGTACAACCCTCAGTGGTGGTCTCGCGTCACAGCTGTGTGGCGCTATATGAATACATGTTTTAAACCACTGTTCAGTCTCCACATTCGAATGCAAGATCCTTGCTGGCCAGTGCAGCCCTCGCATGGCTGTAGCAGCTGCAAGTGTGTCTCAAGAAGTTAATAACTGTATTAAGGTAGCACACGTGGCCCAAAATGATGGGGACCCTGTTATGCTGGGCTTTACACTTAGCTCTTCTGGGAAGAGACTCTTCCTTAAAATTCCATTAGACCATCTGGACAATAGCAAGAGAGGGGAAGTATCTCCCTTTTACAGATGGGCAGCTGAGGCTCAGATAAATCAATTGACTTGTTCAGAGTCTCATGGGGAGTCTGAAACCAAGCAGGAAATGGATCCTCAGTCATTCCCAGTCTGTGCTGTAGCCACAAGATTCCCTTCCTCCGGAAATCAGACTTTCTGCCCGGTGTCATTTTCATATGTTTGGTTCTTTCTACAGGAGTTTGTTTGGGGATGCAGCTAGCAGTTGTGGAGTTTGCACGCAATGTTCTTGGCTGGCAAGGTAATCACAGCAATAACTAACTTTCAGGGTTCAGATTAGTACAGAATAATTGGGATAATGGCTGTAGTTCATGGGTTCCCAAACTGGGGGGGGGCATGAAGAAATTCCAGGGGGGGCACAAGGCATCTTAGCCCCTCCCCCCCCATCAAGTTTTGCTGCACCAGTCAGTTCCTTTTTTTTCCCCCTTAACAAATTTTGCTGCTGCTTTTTTTGCAGGGGGCGGGGAAAACGTGAGGGTTTCTCAAAAATCCGAAAGGGGGCGTGATGCCGAAAAGTTTGGGAACCACTCCCCGTTCTTGGTGGGTAGGAGATGGCTTTGGGGAAAAGTTTGAATCTCCCAGAACCAATCTTAAAGGAAAAGTGTACCCGCTTTGCTCAGTCCATCAGGCTGAAAGTTAGCCTGGCAGGAGACACTTGACAGCATTATATAACATATGTATAACTGAAATCCAGTGTCCAGTCTGCTTGCTAGTTACAAAATGTGAAACACAAGGTTTAATTTCTGGTAAATAAGCATTTTTTTCTGATTGAGGCAAATTGGAAACGGGCTGACAGCATTTCATAACAGTCTCCCACATCACCGATGTTATGAATGATTTTGCTGCCCTCTGGAAGATGGCAGTTTCTACCTAGACTCACAAAACTTCTCTAAAAGGCTAATAAATGGATCTAGGCTTGTTTGGTGTCTGGGGCGGATTCTACTCTCCCAGGGTATGTCTACATTACCACCCTAGTTCGAACTAGGGTGGTTAATGTAGGCAACAGGAGTTGCAAATGAAGTCTGGGATTTGAATTTCCCGGGCTTCATTTGCATATTGCCGGGCGCCGCCATTTTTAAATGTCCGCTAGTTTGGACTCCGTGCCCGCGGCTACACGCGGCACAAACTAGGTAGTTCGGATTAGGCTTCCTATTCTGAATTACTGGTACACCTCGTTCCACGAACTAGGGTGGTAGTGTAGACATACCCTCAGTTATCCCTGTGTGAGCCGGTGCTGCTCATTTGCGTATGGGAGCGGTACTCATGCTCATTGTGACGCTGCTTGCTTCTGATCTAAGAATGTAATTTTACAGATGCCAATTCGACAGAATTTGACCCCAAAACGACTCATCCGGTGGTGAGTATGGTGGGATTCAAGTGTGCTTGTTCTGTGCCCCCTTGCAAGCTGAGTGTTTCCTGTGTGTGGAGAAAGCTGAGCAAATATGCGTGGGGTTGTTTAGGCCCAGCTAGACAAATCCCTGACTGGGATGATCTCGGTGGGTTGGACCCGGTGCCTCGTGAGGTCTCTCCCAACCTTCCTCTCCTGACTCAGTGAGCCAAAGTTGGAATTTACATCTCTTGGTGCTTTAGTGCAAGTCAGTGTGTGGGCACTTTTCTTTTGCAAGTAAGTGTCCTGATGTGATTTAAGTCTATTTGTCATAGACTCATAGGCTACGTCTACATTGGCCCCTTTTCCGGAAGGGGCATGTTAATTTCACAGGTCGTAATAGGGAAATCCGCGGGGGATTTAAATATCCCCCGCGGCATTTAAATAAAAATGTCCGCCGCTTTTTTCTGGCTTTTAGAAAAGCCGGAAAAGAGCGTCTACACTGGCCCCGATCCTCCGGAAAAAAAGCCCTTTTCCGGAGGATCTTAGTCCTACTTCGAAGTATAGATGGTGCTTGGTCCTGCTGTGAGGGCAGGGGACTGGACTCCATGACCTCTCGAGGTCCCTTCCAGTGCCAATGTTTAACCTCCCAGACAGTTAGGAAGTTTTACCTAAAGTCCACCCTAACCCCTCCCTTGCTGCAGTTTAAGCCCATTGCTTCTTGTCCTGTCCTCAGAGGCCAAGGAGAAGAATTTTTCTCCCTTCTCCTTGTGACACCCTTTTAGGTACTTGAGAACTGCTGTTCTGCCCCCTCTGTCTTCTCTTTTCTAAACTAACCAAGCCCAATTTTTTCAGTTTTCCCTCCTAGCTCATGTTCTCTAGACCTTGAATCATGTTGGTTTGTTCTTCTCTGGATTGCTTTTCTTTGTATTGTTTTGGCAGTGGGTTGGCACAGAATTTTCCATCTACACATTTTAGATTCCTGAGAGTTTAAGTGGCCATTTTTAGCACGGATGACTTCTACGGAGCAACCAACAAGATTTATAGTAGCATGGTGGATATGACTAAACAGAGCATGTTAGTGCAGACAGTGCCAAATATTAATCTACCTAAATGCTAACTTCTTAAGCATTTTCTTGTTGATCCAACTAAATCTCTGTCCACCCAGAACTAGGGTTGTAAGGCCATAAAAATCTCAGCTGGGTAAGCCACAGTCCCACGCTACTGGCATTGTTTGCCTCCACTACGGTCGTGTACGATGCTCCTTCCCCTCAGGCTCTGGAAAGGAGTGTGTTAAAATAGCAGACTGATAAGCCTGCTCGCTACGGGCTGCTGAGGATTCTGATTTTGCAGTGAGCACCCTACTGCTGAAAGCCTGTTGCTCTGATGGTACTGAGGTCTGTATGGACGCCACTGTTACGAGACTTTCCTAGACTGAGACCGGCCCAAAATGTTCCCACGGCTACCAAGTACAACTCTTCATTTGCGTTGGAAGAACACCCCAGCTAGACGCTTGATTGTGCTGGGACCTGGGGGTAGCTGCTTGAGACGGGTTCGCTGTTCATTATGTTGGCCTGTGATGTTTGCATTTGAATCCTGTTTTGGGGTTTCTTCTTCCTGTGTCAGTCACAGTTTGCTGTTTGAATGATCTCCCTAGGTCATAGACATGCCAGAACACAATCCTGGGCAAATGGGTGGGACCATGCGGCTTGGCAAAAGGAGAACCCTCTTCCAAACCAAGAACTCCATCATGAGTACGGCATGTTTTACTCCTGGATCTCCTGGGTGCGGAATGTCTGAAGTGATTCAGGAGAACAGTGTGTGTCAAGGGGGTTGGGAGTGAGACCTAGGAAGTTAGCCGGATGGTTTAATGCTTTAAAAAAATACAGTTGCCAAGACTGCTGTGTCTGCAAGGCATCCCTTAGACTTTCTGTGCTGGGAGTGAACCGTCAGCCTCTGCCGTGGGGAGGTAGGAAATCAGTCTCTTTGGGCTAGATCCACAAAGGTACTTAAACCGTAACTTGCTTCAGGAGCCACCGAGATTCTCAAAACTCTGGCACAGCTGCTACCTGACCCAGTAGATGCCTGCAGTCCATAAGCTGCCGGCTGGGACCACAGCTCCTCCCTGGCCTTAGCGCCATCTCAGACAAGGCGCTTTTCGCTGGTGGGCCTGATCCAGTAGGTGTGCTCAGAACACACATGGGGTCTGCCCCATGACACCCAGATCCCCATGGCCCACCTCTGGCGTGGGAGACTCAGCTTTGAATTCCTGTTCTTCCTCATTTGAGTCAGAGGCTTGAACCCGCGTCTCCTACAAGCCAGGTGGATGCCTCAGCCCACCAGGTTACTGTGTATCCTGAGGTGCAGCCCGCTCAATCTCCCCTGTGGAAGCTCTTCCCCTTGTCTACTTTAAGTATGTATTGGAGCAGGGCCTGGATCCTGACTTGCACAGCCCCAGGGAGTGCCGGGCGAGGGGCAGTGTCTCCCTGCCGGCCGGGCACAGTGCCTGT